GATTTTATGCAAGTATTAATTTAGATTATTTCTTCTACTTGATTTATTAAGTGCATGAACTTGATCAATTTATGTGCTTTATTGTTATTGTTGAATGCATGAATAGGAAGATCGGTTTAACAATTAGAACTGTGGTAGAAGATCCTTTGTGGTGTTAGCATAGGAATATAGTTAACCTCTTAGGTAACCATTATTGAGATTTGTGCTTAATGCTTTGTTCTTGATTTAATTGTGTAGGAATACAGTAATTTAGTTATGAATAATAGAATCCTAATACACGCGGAAGCGGATTGTGCTTAAATTAGCATCTCAGGTTAGTAATCCAAATTATTTGCTTGCATAATTGAGGAAATTTGGGGATCAATAATAACATAGGGGGAAGATTAAATTCTAGGCTCGTTTACTTTGATAATGTTCGTGTTTATTTATTTTTCGTGCTATTTAAGTTGCGTTTAATATTTTAGTTTAATTTAGTTAATCATCTTTAATTAAACTGTGCAGGGTGGGCTTGAACATAATTGTGTGAATTTAGCGCTTAGAATTAGATAGTTGAATATTTTTCGTGGGATCGATACTCGGACTTTTAGTCCATTATATTACTTGTACGATACGTGCACTTGCGCGTAGGTATTACCACCAACAGTAATTTAGATAGTTGTCCGAGAGGAGATTCTGGAAACACCATGACAGTGCGTAGCTATTGCATGGGTCCCACGAAGAGTCGGTTTTTATGGTACAACCCCCTGGCTTTATTCATCTGGAATATCCAAATCATGTATGCATGTTAAATCGAACTTTGTATGGCTTAAGACAGGGACCTCGTGCATGGTTCGTACACCTTAGTTCCTGATTGCTAGAGTTGGGTTTTGTTGCCTCCAAATCTGATGCTTCCCTGTTTATTATCGGCAAGGGTCAGTGATTCTCTACTTTCTTGTCTGCGTGGATGATATTATTGTCATTGGATCTTCTTCGGATGTCGTGAGTCATTTAATCAATGTTCTTGGTCAAGATTTTCCAGTTAAAAATTTGGCAGGGCTTCAATATTTCTTAGGTTTGGAGTGCTCTCGGACTGAGTCAGGGTTATTTATCTCTCAGCATAAATATATCAATCATTTGTTACGAAGAACAAATATGTTGAATTGCAATCCTGTTAATAGTCCCATGACACCTTCAACCAAGTTATCAGCCTTTGATTCAGCATCTTTTGAGAATCCAACTTTATATCGGTTGTTGGCTGTCTACAGTACCTCTCGTTCACTTGTCCTGACCTTGCATTTTCCGTTAATAAAGTGTGTCAATATATGCATGCTCCGTGCATCTCTCATTGGAAATCTGTGAAACGAGTTCTTTGTTATTTAAAACACACTGTAGATCATGGACTCCTTTTTCAACCAGCTAAACTTCATAAGTTGATTGACTTTACGAACACCGATTGGGCTGGTTGTCCCGATAATCGCAAATCAACATGAGGTTTCTGTATATTTTTTGGAGAAAATTTTAATATCTTGGAGTTCCAAGAAACATGCTACCATAGCACGCTCTAGTACAGAAGCCGAGTACAAGGCCCTTGCCCTAGGCACTTGTGAGTTACTCTGGTTGCAATCCCTTCTGACTGAATTAGGAATTACTTCTTCGTCTCCTCCAGTTTTACTTTGTGATAATTTGGGTGCCACTTATCATTCCAAAAATCCAATTTTTCACTCCCGCACCAAGCATGTTGAAATAGATTTTCACTTTGTCTGTGACCGAGTTCAAGCCAAGACCTTGGAAGTTTCTTTTGTCTCTAGTAAAGATCAACTCGATGATATTCCCACAAAATCATTATCTAGCTCGAAGTTTAATCCTCTGCGTACGATCCTAGCTGTCGTTCCTTCTTCGCTTGGCTCGAGAGGGCGTATTAACAATACATCTAATACAGTACATGGGATGATTCTATATCCAACTGTATTCTCTTTTGAGTCAATATATATCACAATGTAAATCAATGAATTTGACGTTTGATGCATATTGGGAGAGCTTTGAGAAATTGAATAAGATCATATACATAGCCAATGTTCTTGGTTAAAGTGTTAGAATCTTTTACTGTGGTTTCATACATATTGTCTTATTATAATTTATATCATTCAAAGTATAACAAATTAAAATTAATGGTAGAGTACCACGTACCAATATGTCGTGCCGAAAGTAACGGTATACCTGTTTAGTGTAGATTTTACACTCAATATGTTTACTTTATGTGGATCTTTTGTTTAGATTTAATTATATTTGTGCTTTAATTGATTAGTTTTGTGTTCTATAGGTGAAAAACGAGAATTATGTGTCTGATACGATATATTAAATAATATATCGTTTAATTATTAGTTTAGTTAATAATTTACTATTAATTAAGTAGATTAGTATATTTTATATATATTATTTAAGTATTAGTTTAGTTAGTTTACATAGGAGCCGTAGGATTCTAGGTATATGATAGATATTTAGTATTTTATTAGTATAGGTAATTATCTTTCCTAGTTAGATTAGGATTCTACGGTTTTATTCTCTTTAAATAGTCGTTTTGTGCTAGGGTTTTAGAATGAAGAGAAAAATATTAAAGAATAGATCTTACGTTTCGTAGGAAATATTTATGATACTCGAGAGATCGTATCAGTGTCCATGAAGGAAAAATGATCAAAAGGAAAGGAAAAAGTTGCAATAAAGAAATAAATCAAATTGAAAGAATGATCTCGACTCATCTTTATCAAGAAAAGCCTATAAAAGCAACAAATCTCTATACCATGAGCACGGAATTTGACATATAACACAAAGAACGAATATCGACGAAGACTCCAACATAGTTTTTTTTTTTTTTTTTTTTTTTTGGTAATTCTATTTTGTTTGTCATAAGAATTACAAGTAGCTAAACTCTTTTCTTCTACGATTTTATTCGAACCCTCTATGAGATTTATGTACCCTTTTCTATGATTTTATGCAAGTTTTAATTCCGGGATATTTCTTCTACTTGTTTTATTAAGTGCATGAAACAGTCCATTTTATGTGCTTTTCTGTTTTTGTTAAACGCATGAGTCGGAAGATGGGTTTAATAATGAGAACGTTGGTAGAAGAACATTTGTTGTGCTATCATAGGAATATAGTTAGCCTCTTACGTAGCCATTATTGAGATATATACTTAATGTTGTGTTCTAGATCTAATTGCGTAGGAATACAATAATTTAATCTAGAATATTAGAATCATAATACATGCGGAAGCGGGTTATGATTAATTTAGCATCTCAGGTTTCGGGTTAGTCACTTGCATAATTGAAGGAATAGGAGAATTAGTAATCACATAGGGGGAAGATAAAATCCTAGGTTTGTTTAATTTGATAATCTTTGTCTTTATTAGCTTGCTTGCCTTTTAATTTGCGCTTTAAAATTTTGTTTAGTTTAGAATTTATGATAGATCGTCTTTAATTGGACTGTGTAGGGTGGTCTTGAACATAGTTGTGAGAATCTAGCGCTTATGATTAGACAGTTGAATATTTCTCATGGGATCGATATCCGTACATAATTGTCCACTATATTACCTGTTCGATACGTGCACTTGCATGTAGGTATTTCCACCAACAATACCGAATAACGGTATACCGCACTTGTTGGTACGGTAACAAGATTGAATTTCTCAATACCATATGATTCGGTTGGTACACGGTATTGATCAAAATATTCGGCAATCGTACCGAAACCACCCCTAGGAATGAATATTCATATGAAGATCTACGGGTTTTGGTTTGAAATCTGTATACTCCGTCCCGCTACACCATGCAAAACGACATTGTTTTACCAAAATTACTTCTAGAATTTCAGGTCAAATCTTTCTTTTATATATAAAGATTAGCTTTATTATGAAAATGTTTGGCAACAAAAAAATATATTGTTAGTATTCATGTAATATAATAAAAAAATTGAGCGTAATTTTGCAATCTAAATTTAAAAGCAACGAAGCAGATAAGATTTCTAAATACACTGGGCATGAATTATTGTTAAAAAAAATTGCCAATCTTACATATATTGCGAAACACACTTTAAGTTGAGAAAAAAATGAACTTAGTCAAATGATAATTACATCTTGTCATCAGCTCAAAACCATAAGAAAGAAAGAAAAAAAGAAAACCATTCATGAATTCACAAAAGATATACAAAGCACATAGCAATTCGAAGCATTTGAAATTAATTAGTGATGTGCATTATCTGAGTTTGAGTTTGGCTTCTTCACTATCAAAACTGGACAACACCGAACGTTCTTCGCGCAGTGATTACTCACACTATTAGGAAATACCCTGTCATAACACACCAAATGAAAAAAAAAGAACACACGTGAAAACAAAAAAAAAAAACTACTTATCAGCGAATACTAAACATTAAATCTGTTATTAATTATTTTATGATTAAATTGTAATCATTTTAAAAATCTCTCTTTTTTCCTTTTTTTTTTTTTTTTTTTTTTTTTTTTTTTTTTTTTATAATTTAATGAAGTTGTTTGCTTATAATTCAATAAAAAAAGGTAAATTACAACCAGCCCTCGAGGTATGGTCAAATTATGAAAATCCCCCTCCTGTTTGGGTAATTACATTGACTCCTCAACTATAAATCTTTTTACACGTTCACCCTTGCGGTTTCAAAGAATCTTATAGATTTTATGGAATATAATCACATTTGTACTCATTTTATACCATTCGAGCTCCACATTTTAAATTACGAGGATCATAAGATGTGTTCTTTGGCTTGTATATATCAGATTTCCGTAATTAAATTTTATAGTTCTTGTGTGCTTCATGGTCTAATCTAACCATTAATTAACATTTCGATAAAGTAATTTAATGACTCATGTATAGAGATGACAATTCAATCCCATCCAACGGGTAACCGTGTTTAGGGTGCGAGTTTGAACATTTTAGACTCCTAAACACATATGGAGAACCACGAGATGTTGTACTTGTACCACATGTTATGCTTTATATTTAAAATGCATGATACATTTCACAATACAAATGGTAGCTATAAAGGGCGAGAAAGGGGCACCTCTTAAGAGGACCATAGTCACGGCTACCGACGACCAAAAAGTCAACCTTCAACCTCTCAGCCACATCACATATCACATCCCTTGGATCACCGTGCTCCGCCATCGTCTCCACCGTAATCTGAGCACACACCATAAACATCTCAAATGACCATTCTAACCCTCAATCGCAAACAAATTTACATAACCATACAAAAATAAATAAATAAATCAATGACCTGGTCATTAAAATCTTTGCAAATTTGTGTGGCCTTGCCCATGACCTTTTCCGCCACTTCGTTTGCGTACTTTTCCCCGCTAGCAATTACAGTCGGGGAAATATCATGTCCTGATCATGACACGGAGTACATATATTAGATGTATGAATACTTCTACAAATTAATGAATAATTATTAAACCAACCATTGAAGTATTTGGCAATTAATTAATTAATGATTAAATAAATTAGATGTTGTACCAATGCCTGAGTAGACAGGTAGAGGCCTTTTGGCGAAGAGGAGGATGAGGGTATCTTTGTAATTTTGATGGTTGTCGGAGAGGAGATTCTGGATACACCATGACAGTGCGTAGCTGCTCTCCTCGCCATCATCGACTGCAACCAAAATCTTGCGCCCGTTTTCTCCCATTTTATTTCTTTTCTCTAATAATAACTCGAGGATATATGTATGACTTGATGATATATACTACTGTTTTATGGAATTCATCAATCAAATATATCTATATACACGTTATTGACTTATTATATACAAGAGAGAGAGAGAGAGAGAGAGAGAGAGAGAGAGAGAGAGAGATCCAATTGATGGTTTTTGTAGCTGATGTTTTCTTCGGTGGTTTTGTAAATAATATATGTGGGCATTAACGGTATTTTCATATATTAGTTTAGCCTTATTTTTGCCTTTTTTTTTTTTTTTTTTTTTTTTATTTATTTTTTTTCTAATTGAGGCCTTATTATATATGTTCCAAAAATACAAGTCAAAGATCCCAAAATGTTTAATTAATAACGAGTTTCAACGTGTGAATGTTGGGAACTACGACAAACCCGCAGCATATTGAAAATACATTTAAAACTCATTGCGAGTGTCGATTTTGCTAGAACTGTGCAATTATAACTCACACAAACCCGTATAATTAAGGATATCATGTACGTAGAGAAAATAGAGCAAGTTAAAGAGTTCTATCAAATCTCACTCAACAATTTTTCGAAGAGTTAAATTATGTTTTTTTGCTCGTTTTAATTATTTATAACAAATGGAATTTGCACAATGAATTTTGAATTTTGTTCCTATATTGGGACATAAAAGTGATGACCAAGTAAATGAGTGAAATATATATGGTTAATAAATATAGGTTTTGTATGTCATAGTTTACAATTGTTTATGAGATGCTATACCATATGAAAAATATCAGATAGTTTTATACCATTAGTTTAGGGGTTTTGGCACTTTGTACCTTTAAATTACATCATTTTGGCACTTTGTACCCTTAAATAGCAAAATTGGCAGATTGCACCCTTTAAACATAAATTGTTTGGCACTTTGCACCCCAAATCACTTTTTGCTTAGAAAACTTACCTGCAACTTGTTGAGAAACCTGGGGATGGGCAAATTCATAATTTTCTTATTATCTATCCTCTTCCCTAATCACCGTTCCACCATTTTTATCTTTAGTCCCTTCAATCAAAAAATCCTAAAATCTTTTAGCCATTTCTTTCAATGGTAAAATCGGTATAAACACTAAACAATAATAGTAAATCACTTTTTTTTTTCTTTTGAGTATGAAAAATAATATAACTGGAAATTTTAGGGCGAGCCCTCAAATTGTTTTTTTTTTAAAATAGTAAAATGACAAAATAAGGCTACTGAGAAGTTTATTTGGTGGTAGAAAGGTGGTGCCTATTAGTTTCATGATGGGAAGATTTTTGTGCTCCAATTGAATAGTTTGGATCTGCAAAATTATTAAAGAAAAAATAGCGTTACCATGGAATAAAACTTGATTTTCTGAAGGTGTGTTATCGGACTCTTGTCTATATATTCCGACCATTCTTGAGTTTTAGTTCAGAATATACATATTATGGCAAATAGAAACGGCTAAGAATAATTTAGGATTTTTTAATTAATAGGAAGAAATATAAAAATGGTGGAAAGATGATTAAGAATTGGGGGAGATGATGGATAATTAGAGCCCATCTTTCAGGTTTTCAACAAGTTGCAGGTAATTTGTTTAAGCCAAAAGTGATTTGGGGTGCAAAGTGCCAAATAATTTATGTTTAAAGGGTTCAATCTGCCAATTTTGCAATTTAAGGGTGCAAAGTGCCAAAATGATGTAATTTAAGGATGCAAAGTGCAAAAAACCCATTAATTTATACAAATGATAACTACCCAACTAAGTACATATGATGGCGTGTGTGATTATTTGTAGATGAATGATGTAGGATCACTCAGTGTATTTCACCGAAAGTAACATTTACAAAATTGTTTACAATATTATTTCGAATAAAATACTTGCTCAAACTATTTAATCATATGGGTAAATTACAACCACCCCTGAGGTATGGTTAAATTACAAAAATCTCCCTCTTATTTGGGTACAAAAGTGATAATATTCCATATAATCAAGAAGATTTCACTCAATTTGAAACCGCAAGGGTGGACGTGTAAGAAAATTTATAGTTGAAGAGGATAATTGTAATTATCCAAACAAAATGGGGGTTTTCGTAATTTAACCATACCTCAAGAGATTGTTGTAATTTACCCTAATTATATAGATGCACGTCTAGTAGATATCAATCAATAACATACTTGCTCAAATACACAAATCTCTTTTAGATAGAAAGTATATATATAATATACGTAGACGAGATCTGATACAAAAGAGTAAAATTGGCACTTATCATATATGATCTTATTCTTTTTTTAACTTTTCACTCAAAAACTTACAAGACAAACATATTAATCCAAAAGATTCATTTCTTTTATATCAAACACGATCGCATAAATTAGGCACCGAAGGCCAAATCAAAGGGAGGCGAAGAACCCTCCAAACAGTCTTCAACATCAAGAGAAGCAATAGAGTGGGCAAGTCTATTTTCGTATCAACATAAAGGAGCAAAACGAAAATAAACGGGAATAGAAAAAGTATTCTTCCAAAATCCGCCTAATGAATGGGGTGAAGACTCGTTAAACTTTGTCCTAATTACATTGAGAGAAATGTAAATTTTAAGTTTGGGGTGGAAAAATAACTTGTTTTTATGTGCGTTAATTTTTTAGTTTGCATGCATTAGAATTTTTTTTAGTTGTTTATTGCTTTCAAAAAGAAAAACAAATGTTTGAGTTGAATGCATTGATGAATTTTGATGATGAAATATGGCCAATGTTTGATGATGATATTGCTTGCTTTGTTGTAGTTATACTTGAATTTTGGTGAGTTTTCAATTCAAAGTAATTTAGGAGTGGGTCAGTGTTGAGAATCATGAATTATGTGTTGCTTTTGTTGAAAATTTTGTTTTAAAAAAAAAAAAAAGAAAAAGAAAAAGAAAAAAAGAACGAAGAAGAAGAGAACAAGAAGGGAAAAGGAGCATGCGCAAATATTCGAATAAGAACTCGAACCATACCTCAAGAGCAAAAGTGGAGACTTTTGAACTCTAGAGAATCGAGTAGGGTAATAAGTCCTTAGAGGTGAAAAAAAAAATTAAAAAAAAAAAGCCTAATCTTCAAATCTCGGCGAAAACACCTCGATTCAAGGAAAACAAAATATAAGCATCTTGTTTAGTGCAACTCTTTATTCAATAAAGAGAAGACGGAAAAGAGAAGAGTAGCCACTTATACTCATATTTCCTACCTTGCACCAAAGAGCCCAACAATTCAAAGCCAAAAAGTTCCAATGATCCCAATAGCTCAATTGTTCGATATTAGCGGAGTAGAGAAATCCGGTGAGCCTTTGGAGTTGAATATTATTATGTATGGATAAATTTTCTCTATTTTTAGATTCCAAATATTGGATTATTGAAGCGATAACATGATTTTTTGGTTCTTGGCAATGGTGAACAATTAACTATCTTTGAATTTTAAGCTTGTGAATTTTTCAGAAGTGGCATGACAATTGCAAGTTCTGAAAACGTGAAGTTGACCATAGTAATCTATATGATGAGATGAATTTATTAAATTCTTGCTTTGCAAGTTGCTAGATATTATTTGAGGACAAGCAAAAGTTCAAGTTTGGGTGTGTGTTGAGTGTAGATTTTACACTTAATACATTTACTTTACGTGGATCTTTTGTTTAGATTTAATTACATTTGTGCTTTAGTTTATTGATTTTGTGTTTTATAGGTGAAAAAAGAGAATTAGGTGTCCATGAAGGAAAAAAGATCAAAAAGAAAGGAAAAAGTTGCAAATAAAGAAACAAATCAAATTAGAAGAAGGAATCTTGCCACATCTTTGGCAGTGTCCACCATTTCAAGCATATCTCACTCATACAAACTTCGAATCAGCTGATTTTGGCGGCATTGGAAAGATAATTTCATGGGCTACAATTCTTATTCACGCAACATGCCATAATTCGGACTCCAACATGGCCAAAAACAAAGAACAAATCATGGTGGGGGAAAGTGGCGGAAATTGATTCCTATTAAGTTTCCACTAGTTCGTTATCAAGAAAAGCCTATAAAAGCAACAATTCTCTACACCATAAGCACGAAATTTTACACCACGAAGAATCCAGCATAGTTTTTCTTATTTATTTTATTTATTCTATTTTGCTTGTCATAAGAATTACGAGTAGCTAAATTTTTATCTAGGATTTTATTAGAACCCTATGCTGTAATTCAAACCTATTTTTCTAATATTATGCAAGTTTAATTCCATGATTATTTATTCTATCTGATCTTATTTAGTGCATGAATCTAGCTAATTTATGTTGCTATGTGTTATTATTAGAATTGTATCGATATATCGTTTTAATAACTAGAACAGGGATAGAAGAGCCTTCGAGTAGTTTTCACCAGATGAATGTGTTAATTGCATGTATTATCATAGACATATAGATAATACCATAGATAGCTGTTTACGAGACTTGTTATTTAATGATTTATTCATAATTGGTTTGCATAGACATATAGTGAATCGGTTATAATTAATAGACTCATAATACACGCGACAGCGGGTTATGAGTAATTGAGTGTCTCGGGTTAATAATCGGGAATCGTAACTTGCATGATAGATGTTTAATTGGGTGAAGAATTATCGCATAGGGGGAAGATAAAATCCTAGATCCGTTTTTATATTTATATTTTCTCGTGATTATTTGCTTTCATAATTAGTTTAATTATTTAGTTGATTAAATTTGACAACCTTGCGTAGGTTGGATAAAAATCATAATTGTTAGAATTTGGTACTTAGGATTAGGTAATTTGAGTATTCCCTTTTGGATCGACATCCGACTCTCATGAGTCCACTTTTACTACTTGTTTGCGATACGTGCACTTACGTGTTAGGTATTTAGTCCAACAAGTTTTTGGCGCCGTTGCCGGGGAATACAGCTAAATTATCTATTTATTCTAATATCAAATTTGAGCAATTTTTCTTACTTCAGCCATTTAAGTTTAATTTTAATTTTAATTTTTTATTTTGAT